CCCTCATCATCCCTCTCCTTCCCGTTCGCCGGCCAAACAGCCATCGTCTCCGGCAAACATGGACTCTAACTTCAAGAGCTCAGCGAGATAATCGTTCTGGTGGCCTTGGTTTGTGTGATGAGAGCCTGAAACGAGAGATATCGCGACTGGAAGGCCGTGCCACCGTGCGATGGAGTTTTCCGGCGAAGTCCTCACCGTTCCGTCCACTTCAGGTGCTAGGGACGGTCTCGATCGACTCATCTCCTCCAAACAAACACTTTCCCTCCACCGATTTATGATTTCGCCTGAGTTTCGAGGAACCACCATGGACGGTGGCGTGGAGAAACTGTCGGGCTTGTTCCAGCCAAACGATCCGCTAGCTCAATAAACTGATAGGAGATTTGGACTCCTCATAAAAATTGGAGTCAGGTGGTGGTAACCTTGAACGTTTCTGGGCATTCACGAATTTCCGGCCACCGTGCACGGCGACTGGCGGCGGCGGTCCGGTGACCGGCCCGTGACACTCCGGTGAGGCCCCAAAAGGTAGAATGATCTCCTCTTCGCGTGGATCATGGAATTAAAGTCCGATTCTCAAACGGTATGCCCTAATACCTATTTCCCAATTTTTGTTTTAAACTCCAAATTTAAAACTATTAATTGATTAAGTTGAAATCAAATATAATCCTTGCTATGAAATTAATTAACTGATATAATGTAGTTACAAAGTAATTTTGAACATTATCAAATAAATTACATGATTATTATTATAGTTAGGGGAATTGAGGAGGAAAATAAATTAGAATTAGTTAATTAGTTAATTATGGTTTAGGATTTTAGAATAATGAAATTCCAAATTAGTTTAGAACATGGTCAAATAAATTACATGAACCATAATTCTAATTAGGAGGTTTGATGTTAAGATAAAAATTCCTAACTAAATTTTATGTAAGTTAATATAGGAATTTTAATAAATATTGTTAGGAGAAGTTATAATTGAAAGTAAATAGTTATAGGGCAATTAACATTATTATTGAATCACGGTTGGAGGTTAATTAGTCGAAATTATTAAGTGTATATATGTAAATGTGATGGATGATATATGTAGCTTGAAGTGGATGGGCTGTCTGAATTGATTGATTTAATGATTGAAAAATAAGATTATGGCGGACGGGTTGAATTGTTTTGAAAGGAGGATGGGAATATAACTGATTAATTGCCCGACGGATGGGCTGTGTGCATTGATTGATAAATATATGATAATATTGTGATATTTGAGCAGGTCGATAGTTCAATTTTTAGGGGAGGTGTTGCCGAAATTTCGATAAGAACTTAGACTAGTTTTAATTGACAACATAATTAATAAGTTTATTTAGATTAATTCTATAACTTAATTCATAATAAATAAAGTGCTTATTTTATTATCTCATTATTTATTTAATTATTCAATTACTTATTTATTCATTATTATTGTTATTATTATTATTATTTATTCTATCGTTGCCTGTTTATTGTTAATATTATTTATTTATTGTTTGCATTTGAGTATGGAATGTCTAATCATGCATTGCATTCCGATATGTAACTGATCAATATGTCTGCCATTAAATTGCAATGTTTGATAATGTGTTGTGATAATGCTATTGCTTTGGTTTTGTGTGGAGTTGGGATGAAAGTGGGTCATGGGTCACCATGGGTTTGTGAGACCGTTACTGTTATATGGATCCTGATTACCGTTACCGTTATATACCGTTACTGTTATATGGATCCATTACCGTTAGCCTGGTAAATGGGAGATCGACGCCCTCGTGTGCACCTACCGTTACCGTTACCGTTAACCACAGGTTGGCTTCTCGTCGCTGCGCACCGGACAGTCTAGATTTGATCACAGCCCGCAGGGTGGCCTCCTGTTGTGAGCGCCTGATGATCTAGATTGGATGAAGACCACCGGGTTGCCTCCTGTTGGTATGAAAAAGAAAAGAGAGAATGGAAAAACAATAAGAGGGCTGGTCAAGTGGAGGGTTAGACCGGTCGCCAGTATGGGGATCGGCTCCCTTGGTGCAACACGTAGTGGATGAGCCATGGTCGGAGGACGGCTCATCGGGTTTCGGTGACTCCACTGACCAATTTTCCACGTGATGTGCATTATATGAAGATGGGTTTATATTGTGGAGTGCTGGTGATGACATTTGATTGTGGACTGGCTGCCTGTATGAAGCATATAACTAGTCGAATTGACTAGGATTGATATGTTTACACATTTGTGTGACTTTTGTGTGACTGCGTGTGTTGTGCAATAATTATTTCTCCTTAGAAAACTCACAAGTCTTGTTTAATTTTTCAGGAAGTAAGTTTCTCTTTAATTCGGTCAAGCTATGTTCCTTTGCTGCAAGGCTAGAAAGAAAATTTTACTAGTTCAATAATTATTTTGCTATGTATCTAGATGTATAAAACTCTATGTATATCTATTAGTTAGTGACCCGCAGTTGTAGGATTTGTATATTTTTAGTCGTCTATTATTATAGATTAGATAATTATGTGAGCCCATATTAGAAATGTGATGTTTTGTTAATTGGGCCGAGATGTAATAAAATCTTGAGGTTTATCTTTTTTTTCTTTTTTTTTTTTTTTTTTTTTTTTTTTTTTTTTATAAAATATGGCTGAATGTTTATTATATTGAGATAGATTGAGATAGTAAATTTTTAGTGTTTCAGGCTTACTACGGGCCTCGGGGGCCTTAAGCTTACCTAGGCCCTAGTGCCGGTCCAGTCCATGGAATTGGGTCGTGACAGATTTAAATTTTTTTTTTTAGCACCTATTAGGGTTTTAAAAATCTGCATTTTATAAATTATGGCCTAAAGAATTAGGTTTAAGAATTGGGTTGAATTTTATTCTAAGATCATTTCATTATATAAAAATAGAATTAAATACATAGTAAGTAGCGTTGCAAATAGTTTATACGGTAAAGTATAATATAAATTAACCACTTGTATTTATTTTAATCTAAACAAAACTTATGATTTAATATTATATAGATAAAAAATGAGTATACAACAAGCATAGTCAATATGTAACGCATGTCATCTAAAAGACTAAAAGTGAGTTCTAGTAAAACAGGTCCGGTTAAAAAAAATCGAGTTTTTTTGTATTGACTACCAATATAATCACAAAACTTCCCTTCTGTTTCTTGCCATGTTCTAATAGCTAAAGCATCACTTTCTTTCATTTTATTAGTGATTCTTTCATAAAAAGTAATTCCTTCACCATAAAAAGTAATTCCTTCACCAAAGGCCGCGATACAAATAACAAAGACAAAGAATGGACTTCATGTCTGCGTAGCACAACCGTTGATGATGGATATCCACTAGGTGGCACCGCCAGTGATCGGCTGTAATGGGTTTTTTTAAAGTGACTTGCCATGCCGGATTTAATACTATAGCAAGAAATGCAACGGAAACATTACAAAAGTGTAATTTATAACTTTAATACCAATAAGTTTGGGCATTTCTGGTATCCACTGGTCAACAGCATAGGGCAACATCATAAGAACCAATTTAGGTTTCTTTTCATGTATAACCTTTTCAACCTACTAGCAGGTGTGGTCCAAGGCTATGGTTAGAGAATGAGTTCAGTGGATAGGGATATCGGAGGTGGTCTCCATACTGGCGAGGAGGCAGTCAACTGAAGGGATGGGGGAAGAATTGGAAAGAAAATTGAATTGAAATGTTTTCAGTTGTTGTATTGCTTGTTAGGGAGCAAAAAGTGGAAGTAGAGCAAACCTTTTTTTCTTGCTAGTCTATAAGAGAGATTGGAGACAATGGAGTCATGTCGTTCAATAACATATCAGGAAAAAAATTATTTATACGAAAACATTCTTATACTTTCAATAACAAATCATTATACTTATCATAATCAATCACATTATAATCAATCACATCTCAGATTTTCTTATTTCATATAAATAAATACTTAAAAAAAATACCCATAAAACCATAATGTACTGATCAGACCCTCTTCAAAACATCAATCAATAATGCCACAGCATAACCAGCGACATCTTAGGAAAAGGTGGAATTGGTGTGCGATTCCTCAGTGGCTACACTGAGTGAGGTCTATGTAATCTACTCCAGCAACTACAATCTAAAGCAAAGATAGAAAAGCGAGAATGTTGGAGGTAATTGGTCCCAAGCAAGAATGTTGGAGGTAATTTGGCTGGGACCAACAATGTCGGAGGTAACAAGGCTAGGACCAACAACGAGAATGTTGGGACCAACAATGTCAGAGATAGCAAGGCTGGGACCAACAAGGAGAATGTCGAAGGTAACAGGGCCGCGACTTAGAATGCCGATGAGAGCATGGCAAAGTAGTTGGCTAGTCGAAGTTAGTGCACAAGCCGGAGCTGAAGGCAAGTTTTTGAGGACTGATGAGATCGTATTGTTTTTGCTCCAAAATAAACGTCTCAATTGCTTTACTAGCATTATATTGGTTTTTGAGTCGCACGTTTTGACCTTTGAACACAAAGGTCAAATCGGACCTTTTAATTGCTAAGGAACAAGTCCAAAGACTAAATTAGGGTTTATTCCAAAATTGAACAACAAACAAAACAGTATCAATAGTACTAAAGAGAGTTATTAAAAATGGAAAAAATAAATTAATTTGTAATTTATTTCCTAAGTTAGCATTTTTGTCATTAAAAGAAAATTGTCATTAAAAAAGCAAAAAAAAAAAAAAGCAAAGAAAATGATGGGAATTAAACTAATTGCGAGCAAGAAAATGATGGGAATTAACTAATTGCTACATTTCAATGTTCTTTAAATGCAAGTATTAATTTTACTCCAATATCTCAATTATATCTGCTTTCAATCCTATTCTTAATATATAGCTGAACAAAATGCATAAAACATGAAGATAAAATAAATTAGGTGCAACAAGAAGCTTGTGACTTTAATTTTTCATCGTGATTGATTCATCTAAAGTTATTCAAGAATAGGTTAAAATTAGAAGGAAAAAAAACAATTATTATGTAATTCAACTTATATGTATTATATTAGGAAATATGAATTCAATAAGGACGTTGGCCCTCAATATTTCCTACAGGATCATAATTACAAGTAACAAACCACCACCCATTCTTGCATTTCGCCCTACCACAACCAAGATGAACTGAGCTACGCCAAACAACCTGAGTATAGTGCAAGCACTCATCACCAACACAAGAATTGGATTTATGATCATAATTAGCCTTCTCAGTAACCCACATCGCCACCGCATCGACGCCGTTTAGATTACCATAGTTTAGATTACCATAACCTTCTGCAATGTTCTCCCCATAGGGTCCATATGAATGCTCGAATTCGCAATTTTCAACTCTTGAATTTGCATATTCTTGAGCATAAGCAGCCACTGTTCTGTTCCAAGTGATTGGAGGAACTCTTACTTGTGCACGAACTGCATTATGTGCATCTACATAATCTTGAGGAGAATTTTGTGCTAGGGAGAGCTCAACTAAAACTGTAAATCCTACTAAAACTGTGGCTAATGATAATAGCTTGCTTGACATTATTTTTTCAAGTTAAGGAAACGAAAAATTTCTAGAGAGAGAGAGAGAGAGAGAGAGAGAGAGAGAGAGTTTAATTGTTCTTGATTAAAATGGGCATAGAATGTTGGGTTTTTATAGAAAAGTTAAGCAGAAAAGTTAAGCAAATAAAGACAATTAATGTATTATTTTATTAACCAATCTTACTTCATGGTGAAGAAAAGGAATAGATAAAAGAAAACAGAAGTCCAGTATTACAGGCATGTATTCCGGAAGTTCACGGGACAAAAGCATTTCCTGTACAAAAATGTAAAGTGTACAAAAATGTAAAGAATAATTCGGTTAGATTCTGTGTTTAGTTTTGTGTATTTGTCAGGTTTTCAGCAAGTAATTAAGACTTTAAGAGACGAGTAAGACTAATTAATTAAAGAAAGTCATGCTTTTAATAGTGAAATCATGTGAACGCACAAGTATAGCTGCCGATAAAACGAAGACAAATTATTAGAAACAACATATAAAAATAATAACTCAAATGGAAAAATTCAGCGGCAAAAAGCAATCGTGTGGTTGATCAGTATAACTAGGTCATGGGTTCGATTCTCTACAATACAAATTCTAATTTATTACAATATCTCGTGTAAACATAAAATAAATAATATATTAATAATACACTAGTGTTTTTATGATTTTGTATTCTTGGTTTTCTAATTTTGATTCTTTCCCCTAATAATAATAAATTAAAGTAGAGGAGCAAGATGTCAAGTTAGTTCAAGTTATAAATATGAACAATTTTCAATAGCTAATAAATATTTTTTATTATTTGTAAAGAAAATTAATAAGATATTTTTTAGCCTATTAAATATTTTTTATTATTTGTAAAGAAAATTAATAAGATATTTTTTAGCCTATTTAACTTTTATATATAAATTCAGAATCCATTTTGAATAAGCTGTTAGAACTAATGTTAGACGTTTTAGCTTTCAGTTTTCAGCTTTCAGCAGGTTGGTGATTTAGAAATTAGAATTACATTTACTCCATTTAAAAATTCCAATTATAATTCTAAAATTTTCGTATAGAAGTAGTTGCTAACTATTTTCATTGTTAAATTTTGTACAAGATTAGGGCTGCTTCTAATATACATGAAAATTAACTCATTATGAAAAACTGAAAATTATATCAGTATGAAACAGCATGCAAAATTATGTCATAGTTTAGCTAGTTAATTATGTTAATGCAGAGCTGAATATAGAACAGGAGAATCTGCAGCGTTTTATAGGCTGTGCAAAACTCTGACAGGGATACAGTCTTGTCGAGCACAAGAAAGGATGGACCATTCTGATTGATTGAGCTTCTCATCTCTATATCATTATAATATAAGTTTAAACATCTAACGGTTGCACTATGAGATAAATTTTTGAGCAATAAAATTAATTTTGATCGGTCGATTCCCAGATGCCGTGTAGAGACATTTCCCTTGATGGATTATGAAGATATGCACAACCCATTTATTAAGGTTTCCATATCTATGTTAATTATATATGCAAAATAGTATTCTTTTAAGAATGAATATATAATACTATGGCTAAATATTAATTTTGTGTCTCTTTACTTTTTTTTTGCCATTAATTTTGTCATGTTGTGTTTCAATTTTCAAAATATAAATAAAAAAGATTTGATATCATTAGCAGGAGAATCTCAAAGAACCTACACTCAATTATGGAAAAAGAATATTGAGTGTGCATCAGTTTCTGACCTTAATACCGTCTAGATGCATTATGAACAAGTCATTCCAAGTATCTGTCATTCCAGGCAAGCACCAGTGCATGCAATCATCATGTCTCTTCCCACCTGCTGTAGATGGATGGGCATCTCCCCTGAACTCGCTCAAGTGGGTTATATCCAAGATATGGAAATTAGATCCATTGAGAGCTTGGAATAGATGCTGGTTCACCAGGCGTGATTCTACATTTGTATTAGGTAATCCATTGGAAGAGCTTGGAATAGGATGCTGGTTATTCAACCAGTGGCGTGATTCTACCAGATTTGTTCCCGCATTAATTAATCCAGAGAAGAAGGAGACCTTTCAACCTATAAGAAGAAAATTAATAAATTTTTGGACCTGGTTTCACGCAGTGCAGCGGAAAAAATGAAGGCACAGAGAACAAGCATCTATGCAGTGCTACTCAAGAATGGCCACTCACGCAAGTTTTTGCTTAGCTTGAAAAAGTGGAATAACGAATGGAAAATGCCATGTGTAAGAGGTCCGAAAGAATCCTACCTCCAAGTTTATTATCTTAAAATGATAATTAAAATAGTAATGATTAATTATAATTAAGAACCTACTTAAAAAATTAATTTCAGCTCAAGAGGAAAAATGAAGTTATTCAGAAATATATAAATAGCAAAAGAAAATTATTGAAATTCCTTTTAAACAGAAATTAAAAAATAGAATCTCTCAAGATAAAATGAAGTTATTCAAATATAAAATAGCAAAAGATTATGAATTCCTTTTAAACCAAATAAAAAAAATAGAATCTTATTCCAGGAATTGAATTGTATTTCTAATTCCGAAGTGAACCAAATATGGTATAAAGTTCAACAAATTATGACGTTCAAACTTATAATTCTAGATGTTATTCACCTGCTCAGACGAGAAAGGTCGTACTCGTGGACAGGAACCACCCTGGTCCCAATCACCGCCTTCAAAATGTCTAGGTGACTGTGTACGGAAGAACTCGATCCCACCGGGACGTATTCTTTTCTCAACAAACAGTATCTAGAGTGAAGGAAAATCAATCTTAGAAAAATAAAGATATACATTAAATCATGCAGAAGTAAAAGGCTGTGCAAGTTCAGCTGGCTATGTCTCTGGACGTGATATACTCATTAGGAAGTAAGGTATAAAGGAAGTAAAACTCCCTCTTGTATTACAGCACAGCATTGGAATCACATAACATTTAATTAACGTAGATATGGATGGGTTTAAGCATTCAAATACAGTTGATTCTTTCCACTGATTAATGTTGGTCACCATTTCATCGGTTTTGTTTCACAATCGAGCAGGCATACTCATGTTTTAATCGAATGTTGCTCTGATTTCCAAAACAGTACAAGTACCAATAAACCGAAAGAGAAAAGTAATTTCCCTTCTTATAGCATTAGGTGCTTCTTGAAGGTACTCCTGGAAGTGTATATTTTATAGTATAGTAATATAATTAAATCCAGTCAAAAAAGAGAAGAAGCTATTATAAATTCTACACAGTGAATTTCTTTATTTTTCAAATTCCTATGAACACTGCAAGCAGAGAACGTAAACAACTAAATGATGGGAAATTACGCAAAATTTCCTATAAACCCAGATTAGTGAGAATGCCAAATAAAAGCGGAATAATAACACACACAAATTTGATAACGGAGTTCGGCCAATTCTGCCTACGTCTCCGGTGCTGCTGCATATCTTTTACTAACAGGAGATTCTGCCTACGTTCTCCGTGCCTGCTGCATAATCTTTTAACTAACAGGGAGAAAAAAATTATACCAAAAGTGGTTTACAACACTATAACCCACAAACTCAATAAATTCACATCAAAGAAAATTTACTCTCAATTTTCTCTCACCAAAGCCTTTCTTCTCTTGAACCTAGCTTTTAATGAATTTTCTCTCTGAAATTGAGTTGATCGCGAAAAAACACTTATGGGAAGTGCTCTCTACTTTATAGATCACAGAATTTTGGTGGTTGGCGCTAACCCTATTGCGTTACTTTCTTGGTTGTTGCCAACTCATGCATACCCCGAATTCTGACTGACAAAGTTCTTTGGTGATGGTGGGCCTACCATGAGTACCATGCATGCCAAAATCTGAACTAGAAGCAAGTCTCCATTTGAAAGGACTGATATTCAATACTGTCTTTCGACAATTTGATTCAAATCAGACAGCTTTTCGTTTTGTTACTTTAGCAGAGCCAACTGAAGCTGAACGAACAAACTTCAGCTTATCGATAGTCCACTATCTTTGTTTAACATAACTGCTGGCCAGGATTCTACTTCATGTGATCTTCTGCAGATATTAACCACTTTTTCATCTTCTAATAGAGATCTGATGAAAGTGAATAACGAAGTCCAATACTGCTTGGGTTTCTGGAATGAAATAGCTGAATTACTTTGCCCCAGAGTGTATTGGGCAACTTTGACCTTATTTCACTGTGTAAAAACATTCTTCATCGGCTGTTTGAATCCCCCAACTTCAGGTTAAGCAAAACCTTGAAGCCATATGCAATCTCTTTACGTAGCTTTTCAGTATTGCTACAACTACTTCAGCATCTGTACGTGGATCTTTACTAGCTTCAGTCATTGCTACATACTCAGCCTCTGTAGTGGATAAAGTGACGATCTTCTGCACCTGTGACATCCAACTAACAGCTGTAGATCCGATAGTGAATATATAACCGGTAGTGCTTCTTCGGTGATCGACTTCACCTCCAAAGTCTGCATCCACATAACCTTGTACTCTTAACTCTCCCTTATCAAAGTACAAACACTTTTCTGTGGTGCCTCGCAAATACCTCAAAATCCACTTGACTGCTTCCCAATGAGTTTTTCCTGGGTTGGACATAAACCTGCTAACAACTCCCACTGCATAGCCAATGTCTGGTCTCGTACACACCATCGCATACATCAAACTCCCAATAGCTGAGGCATAAGGGACCTTAGCCATGAAGTCTTTCTCTTCCTCCATCTGAGGAGATTGATCCTTGGATAAGCGAAAGTGACTTGCCAAGGGTGTGCTGACTGGCTTGGCGTCACCCATATTGAATCTTTGCAAAACACGGTTGATGTATTCTGCCTGAGATAATTGCAAAATTCCTCTTTGCAAATTCCTCTTGGCCTATCTCATCGTGATTTTGCATTCCAAGAAATCTTCTTAAGCTGGAACCCAAAGTCCTATCAATATCAAAACTCTTTATGACAATTGCTAGCTTTTCAATCTTCTGATAATCATCCAGATATTTGAACCTGCTACTAACATAAATCAAATTCAACATTAAAGCAGTAAAAAAATGAATATAATTGAGCTTGTATCTTTTGGAAGTAAG